TCCTTTACTACTTAGTTACCAAAAATTTGAAGCACATGATAAATACATTTTAATTTTTCTGGTTGAAGGGGATGTCATTTGACATCACTAAAATCTAATTTTGTTGGTTGAACATTTATTTAGTATTTTAAATGCAATTTTCTTAGCGTAATTTATAAATATCCCATAGAGGGTTAAAGGACTACTCTAAATGTTAAAACGGCTTGCCATGAAGCCATCACGATACAGATCGTGTATGCATATACCTAAAACCTGCATCATGTAGATTTTTTTTGTCATATGTGGTGAAAACCAAACCAAACCAAACCAATCATTAAATTGATGTTAAGATCATGCAATTAGACGTAAACAATAAAATATTTTCTAGTAAGCAAGCTGACGCTGAATTCACCTGATTGCATATTTGGATCACATAAGTACAATATCAGAAATGTTACAAATTAGAAGCTAAATGTCTGCAGCTGAAAATAACATGATGAGGGTGATTATTAGCAGATGCAGCGTAAATACAGAGTGCGTCATTCATTCGTTGCGACATACACGGGGATGGGTTTCTGTTTGTACGGGTCCTTCATATTCAGCACTGGTCACTCACTTAATCTCGGCTGAGAAATATAGTCACGAGTCACGGCGAGGGCATTTTCCCGAACTGCGACGTGTTTGCTCCCGGTAACAGCAGATGATATTTCACTGACGGCTCCGCTCACCATTCCTCTAAGAGCCTTCATGATGACTATACTACACAAAAATCACTACTAAGCGTGAGAACACGGCTGCACATGCGCAGTAGTGCTTACTGTGGTTCTCCCTCCTCCCCTTTTCAAAATCGACGCAGTGAACGATGAGGCCCTCTAGAGGTGTCACTTGTGACAGTATAATATACTTTATTATATTTCATATTATTAGAATAACAACTAAGTAAAATATGAGTTGAATTGAAAATTCAGAAAAACGTATTTCAGAATTTAAGGGTATTTATGTTTCCATTTTGCTTGAATGATACCAGCTCTAAATTAACTTTGCAAATCCCGATGATCATGTTTTCCAACATGATTTGAGAATGAACATCTAACCATCTGTACAAATCTCTCATTTTGTCACAAAATAAAAATAGTGCAGAATATAAAAAAATATATACTTTGAATTATATAT